CTTAGGAATGGGGTGAGGTCCATGGTAGACAATTTGAGGTTGAAGCTGTGAGGGGTTGAGGCTCGTAACCACGGAGTCGGGTAGGGCGTTCCAGGCATTGACCACTCTCTGGCTGAAGTCGTATTTTCTGCCATCGACTTTGGAGCAGTTTACCTTGAGTTTGTATCGGTTGTTTTCCCGTATGTTATTGTGGTTGAGGCTGAAGGAGTTGTTGACGGGGAAGATGTTGTAGCAGACAATTTTGTGTACTATGCTTAGATCGGACCGCAGGCGGCACAGTTCCAGATTGTCCAGGCCCAAAATTTCAAGCCTGGAGGCTGAGGGAATTCTATTATGAGTAGAGGAGTGGAGGATTCTTCTCAAGAAATAATTCTGCACCTGCTCAATCGTGTTAATGTCCGATATACGGTGTGGGTTCCAGACAGATGAGCTGTATTCGAGAATTGGTCTGGCAAAGGTTTTGTATGCCCCAGGCCAAATGGTGGCTAACCCTTTTTTTGGGGCTCCTGTGCCAAAAATTGCGCGCACGCACTCGCACACACATGCCAGCACCCTGAAGGGAATGCATGCGCACCCCCCATGCCCCTTGCGTACACACGTACAATTTCTCCACGCCACCCTGTTACCGGCACTTTGCCTCCCAGCTGATTTTCAGTCCATTTGAGGTCTTTTTTGGCCTCCCAGAGGCTTGAGGACAGCTTCTGCAGCCTTTGCAGGCCGAAAAATAGGCCTGTTTTGTCACTTCCGGTATTACAGGAGGTGATGAAACAGGCCTATTTTTCGGCCTGCAAAGGCTGCAGAAGCTGTCCTCAAGCCTCTGGGAGGGCGAAAATCAGCCGTGAGGCGCGCGCATGCGCAGAGAGATAAGTTTGCCTGCAGCTCGCGTGCTGGCACAAATGGCTTTGCGTGCCACCTGTGGCCATAGGTTCGTCATCGCGGCCCTAGGCCTAGTCAACAATTCAATTCAAAAATAAGGTTAATGACTCTTAAGTGAGCTCTGGGGCTTAGATCGTTTGAGATTGAGTCCTCCTAGGTCCTTGACACAGAGTAAGGATTGTCTACAACAGGGGTCTTCAACCTTGGCAACTTTAAGACTTGTGGACTTCAACTCCCAGAATTCCTGGCTGAGGAATTCCGGGAGTTGAAGTCCGCAACTCTTAAAAGTTGCCGAGGTTGGAGACCTCTGGTCTTACGAGATCGTTTCTGCCCAACTTGCATTTGGTGTTCTGATTTTTATGGCCAATGTGTAGGACAGAGCATTTGTTAAGTTTCCTGTCCGGCAGTTTCTGCGCCAAGCTGCATCGTTCTCTCACCCTCAAAATGCTTGTGCGTATTTTCCAAGCCTGGCCGGAAATCTGTTTCTTTTTCTTTTTTCTTTTTTTTTAATAAGCCGGAGCGGAGCAGAAAACTTTGGTCTGTTTTGTTGGCCTTCTCCTATCTTGCAAATGGGTGAGAAGTTGGCCGGCTTTGGCTTTTTCCTTGTTGCATCCAACTCCATTCTCCATGATGGGAGGGTCCACTTGGACCCAGCTCAAGGAGCAGGAGAAGGGTGGGTCCTTCCTTTCCTTCCCACCCACCCCCAGCTCCCCACCCCCCCCAGTTCACACAGGATGGAACACAGCAGTGTGTGTGTGTGTGAGAGAGAGAGAGAGAGAGAGAGAGCAACGCAACACCTGCCCCAGTGATTTTTCTCACCAAGGTGCAAAGAAATGGCAGGCTTCGCCACATCTCCAAACTTCAAAGCTTTGGAAAGAGGCTGTTGGATGGGCGGGGGGGGCTTCTCTGAGACCCCCTAGCCCTTTTTAGAGGGGGGGGTGGACCTGTTTGAAATGAGGGAGGGTTAATTGAGGAGGAGGAGGAGGAGGAGGAGGAGGAGGAGGAGGAGGAGGAGAAACTGGATTCGCTTAATGTCCACTGAACAAACTGCAGTGGACAACTCATGACATTGGGTACAATCCACTCACCAAACGTCGTACTTAACGACGGTAATTCTGATCCTCGTTCTGGTTATAAGTTGAAAGTACCTCTTGCTCTCTTGGTCCAGCATAATATTTTTTTTCTTTTACTTGTGCGGATGGAAACTCGGGAAAGGGTAGTCCGTCTGTGTCTTAAGTTGCCAAAATTTTGTATCCCACCTTTTCCTATGTATCCGACACAGCTTCCTCCTCCTCCTCTTTTCGCCACAACAACCACCCTGTGAGGTGGGTTGGGCAGAGAGAGGATGACTAGCCCAAGGTCACCCAGCCTCTTTTCATGCCTAAACCGGGACTAGAACTCGTAATCTCCTGGTGATTGGCTCAGAGTCACACAGTTGGCTTTCATGCCTAAAATAGGACTAGAATTCACCATCCCCTAGTGATTGGCCCAAGGTCACCCAGTGGCATTTCATACCTAAGGCAGAACTAGAACTTATTGTCTCCTGGTGATTGGCCCAAAGTCATCCAGCCGGCTTTCATGCGTAAGGCGGGATTAGAACTCACTGTCTCCTGGTGATTGGTTCAAAGTCACCCAGCCGGCTTCGATGCCTAAGGCAGAGCTAGAACTCAGC